CCTCGGACGCATTTCGGCGGCCGCAATGGCGATCTGGCCGCCCTCGGCCAGAGGAGGACGCCGCACATCCGCCCTTGCCGGTCGTCTTCTCTCGATGCCGAGCCGGCCTAGCCGATCTCCCGCAGCGGCTGCAGCACCAACAGGACGCCACGCTGCCATTCTGCTGCTGCTGCTGCGGCGGCCGAAATATCGCGGCCAAACCCGTTTCACCCCCTGCCCTGACGCCGCCGCCGAAAAACACGGGCCAACCGAGATGCCCCTCCGCTAATGGCCCGGGCCCCGGCGCGCCTTCACCCTGTCTGTGCTCCAGGCACTGTAGTTGCGCGCACCACAGCGCAACTCACGCTCGTAATCAGTCGCGCGCAGACTCCGGTCGTGGTGAGGATGACAAAGAAGCGCGTACGTACAGGCCGGGGAACGTAGTCCCAGTGACCGACCCCTGAACGCTTCCAGTCTGTCAGCGAGACAACCAGGACATGTCGAATGCACGACTGAACGTAGCGGACTGAGAAGGACACGGAAACTACGGCACGAGGCTCCTTGGAGACAATATTCGACGTCTTATTATGGGCAACCTAAGTCCGGGCCGCAACAAATCATGCAGGAAAATTCAATAAAGTTACAACAAAGACCCTCCATTCTCCGCCCTCGGACTCGCAGCTGACTATACAGCCCGAGAGGAAGACGAGGCGATCGCTGTTAGCATTGTTCTTTGATAAAAGTAGCTTCGGTGCCTTCTTCCATATGGACCGCACACCTCTAAACGTTAGAGGTGTGGACCGCACACCTCCAAACGTACGCAGCGACGACGATACACCCAATTCTTCTTCGGTCAAGCAGTAAATCTTGACCTCATAAGCCATCGCTGCACGTAATTAACAAGGCGTAGCTGCGGGGAACCCGGTCGCTCACGGTGCGTCTCGACGGCCTCCCTCCTTTAACGGGCGACGTCGCTGATAGGCGTCGTCAGCTGCCTCTCAACGCAAAGGTGAAGCCCATCGCGCAGGGGGGGCATATGCATTTACACCCCGTGCGAAATAATGTGCGAGCCGCGCGCGCTAACGGCCGCCTGTGATGGCTGGCGTGTATTTCTCAAGAACACGTGTTACACGAGGTCATACGGATGGATAGATGGATGGACTGGACTGGACGGGTGGACGTACGATGTAGATGGGTCGCTGTGGAAACCGTCCTTCTCGACAAATAATTGGCAAACTAACGCGCCGCTGCTTCTCAGCGCCGCCAGTTTCACGCGTATTATGCAGGCCGGGATAGGCCCCGTCAGTGTGCGTTGTCGCCTTCTGCCACCCCTCGTACATCATTGAAAAAAAAAATCAATCGTAAGGAACATCCATGCACGAGGGCGAGTTGTGCAGTGCCTATCACGTCTGCGAATAACTTACCCGGGCAGAAGCGACACTTACCACCGTATTCACAAACGCTCCTCGACTCGACTTTAACCCTTCACTTGACAGAGTCGAGCACTGCGCCGCCGCTCGGCTGAAAATGGCGCTGCGCTACTCAGGAATAGCAGCAGATTATCGCGGATATGCAGCGACTTGTCGTGACAAGAGACGGCGCTCCCATCGGCTTTCTGAAGTGAAGGTGCAGCGTTGAGTGAAGGGGCGTTCTTGAATACGGGGGTTAGAATTGTAGCACACTGCATGCCTTTAAGAGAATACATGCGTGTGTTTGCGCCGGGTCTCCTCGTGAAGTAATCGGAAGTAGTAACGACACGCTAGCTCGTAAAGGAGACACCAAAGCGTGACACTGATAATAATATTTATCGGGGTTGTACGTCCCGAAGCCGTAATATGATTATGAGAGACGCTGTATATATAGATGGAGGCGAAATTTCCGGCCTCCTGTTGTTCTTTAACATGCACCTAAATCGAGGTATAGTAAACGGTTCTCGAGCCTTTCGCCTTCATCGAAATACGGCCGCCACGACCGGTGATTTAATTAAAAACTTTCGGGCCAGCAGTCCAGCACAATAACCAATATACAGACCACGGCAGCAGGTGTACGAGGCACTAATTGAGCGTAGACAAACCAGTTGTTATCTCTACACCATACTTTCATTAACCGTGAGAGTCATGCCGGCCGCTCGGTACACGGATATACGTAATCTATTTACATTTGACTTTAAACTGTCTTGCTGCTTTTTGCAAGAGCGTTCGCATACATCGGCCGCCCAAACATTATTGCGAGTCATAACAGTACAATCCAAATATCATATTTATTGTTTCAATTGCTGTTATCATGCTTAAATGTAAGTTAAGAGGAGTGTGCACCTTTTATTACTCGAACATGCTTTCAAAGAATAATCAGAAACAAAGATGAATAAGCAGTTAAACATGCGTAATAGGTTCGCTTCAAAAGTTCTTACAATAGAATTTTTTGTACGAGAAAACTTCAGTCAATATTACACTGGGCCAATACAGGCGACAGGCGATCAGACGATGGTAATCATTACCGAGAAACAGATGAATTTGAGTACTCTGGCCCTGTTAAATAGGGTGGTATGTTGGGCGATCTGCTTGAATTTCATTTTGCCGAAACGCCGAAATAGTCGTCGAGGGACAAGAACATGTTTCAACGGAACTGCCCAGTTCAGTGACGGCCCGACGACGACCCGATCGTCTTCCCGAGAAGAGTGAGTACGCTGATGCGGCGGGGTTCCGAAACATGGCGTCTAAATAGCGGCCCTCAACGAGTAGCACTTCACGACCTCGAGGAGAAGCTACCAGACCATACGGCCGCTACTTAAGTGTCGACATGGCATCGCGGAGAATAGGTAGCAAGCAACGAGCGAAGAGCAGAGGCAAGAGAGAGCGGAAACATGCATCGGGAGGTCTCTCGACGTTGTAAGACGCGATAAGAGAGGCCGTGTTTAGGGTCGCTGAGTCAGCAATCAATACGTCTTCAACTGCACGGCAGCGGGTGTTCTGCCTATACCACTACAGCGTTCGTAGTTGACGCACCGCTTGTGTTGCCGTACTTGAAAGCTCGAGAGATAATCGTCCCAGCAATGTGGTTTGGGTGGCTTCCCCGCTAGAACGTTCTCCCGGAAAGTTGACTTTTCCTCGCAATAGTAGTGTACTCCGCTGTTAACCTCCTGCCTCCTTCCGAGGAGGCCTACCAAATTATTCGGAGACTGGTCGCCATGAACGGGAACGGATGTACTATCTGTGATGCGTGCTTGCAAAAAGGCGTCACGGTTGACGAAGTGAAAGAAAGTGAATACTTTGTTTCTACTACAGCACGCCTCACGCTTGCACTATAGATAGGTGTGACGAATCAAATACAAAGAAAGACAACAGTATTCCCGGAACAATATGAACATAAAGGCTGCTCGTCTTGCGATGTTCCATATGCTCATGCGTGTATTTGTACATTTGTTTTTGATACTTCAGCTAGACATGGTGTAAAGCTAGCTCACTGTGCGTAGCTATACGTCAATTATTCTTGCCTTGTCACTTCCTCCACTAATTATTGTTATTTAAAGATAGAGGGACAAAAAATAAAGGCAGCGACGTTGACCAGCCCCAGTTCGGTTTGCTACCCTGCACCGGGGCAAGAGATAAAGGGGCGAAATTTGAGACAGAGGGAAAGACAGATAAGCAAAATCACGGGCACGTGCACTTGGGAGTGCAGATTCAGTGTGCAGCGAGATCTTCTCATTAAAAATAATGATGATGATGAAAATCAGGAGCCCTTTCCATATTGGGAAGACAGAGCACAAGAAGCTTGGCCAGGCTTAGTGCGCCTGATCTGCTACTCTTCTTGCTTTTTCCATATCGCAGTGCTCAATGTTTCCTCCAAGCTGTTTCGTTTCTGCATGCCGAGAATAGAGCCTTCATCCAGGTGCTTAGAAGGTCAACGCTTGCATTACGACAGGGAGCAACCACGGTCACGCGTTCACATCCATGCAACAACGCAATGTACCAACGTGAAATAACAGATGACCTCGATAAACGATCAGCTCAATATCAAATGCCACCGATCACCGACAAACCCACTATCGATAGAGTTATTAGAAAAGCTATGGACAATCTATCCAAAGGGAACCCTGATGAGATTCGAAGTAGCAGCAGTGCGCACGGCGTTGGCCCGGTTGAAAAGGGCGTCGACGTGGGTGCTGGAAGAACAATTTGAAGCGAAACTCGGTGTAGCGTTTACTCGATCGAGTAAACGTTAGTTTAAAACGCGAAGACCCGGGATGCGGGACGCGTTGAAGACGCTTGCGCTTGGCTTCCTTGGCTCGCGTCTCGTCGGTGTTACCCGCACGCCGTCTGTATTCTCAAACGCGATCGGTGTTCTTGACTCGCACCTCGTCGGTGTCGCCGGTCTTCGACTGCCGACGTTTGCGTTCGGCTTCCCTGGCTCGCGCCTCACAGGTGTTGACGTCGCCATTCGCGAACGCGATTCGACTTCGCCAACCCTCGCAACGCCAGCGATAGCCGGGAAAGGTTTGCGCACACTAGCGGGATGCCATGTTGTAGCGGAATAGCAGGGAGGCAGACTTTTTCTAGTGAGACGACGACAGAGAAAAAACACGTCCTTTCAGTTTGAACGCATCACGAAGACTGGTTTATTCGTTCGCTATGTACCGCTGTCGTAGAGAGGGGAAGAAAAAAAGGAAAAGCAAACAGAGAAGCACAAGTATTGTCAAAGAGTTTCCTCCGCACCCCGCACGTGCGACGGTCTTCAAGGACAGATGGACAAAACGCTTTCCGCGTGTTCGAGAAGGGTCATTGTGGCCCTCACCCCCTTTTCCCTTCACGGCTGGGCTTGTAGGTAAAAACAGATGTCAAGGACGCCCTTCGCTCCTTTCGCATTGCCCGTCACGCGAACCACCCGAAAACGAGTCCCTCCGAGTTGCCCCTCCTCCCCCCCTTCGCCGCGGAGTCTTTCAATTAACGCTCCCCCGAAGCGGGGGCTGCTTCCCAGTATGCGACAAATACAACAACCTCCCCCGGATGAGCGAACTCTTGAGCTCATTGTCGGTCGACTTCTAGCGGATAAAGCAGCTGTATTGGTCGTTTCACCACCGTTCCCCCGCTTAGTTTCAAACTGCAGGCCCGCACCCTGCCGTCCCTGCCCTTGAACGTTTCCTTGATTCTGGCGATCTTCCACATGTGTCGTTTGAGATGATCTTCCTTTAAAAGAACTAAATCGTCTATCTTTAGGTCACTCGATGTCGTTGGCCGGGACAGATGCGCCGATCGAAGCTCCAATAAGTACTCTCTCCGCCACCGTCTCCAGAATCCTTCAGCCATGGCAGACCGGTACTTCCAGCGTCGTGAGATATGCGCGTCACCGCCCGGAATTTCGGCTGGCAGGTGGTGTGGAGGAAGGGTTGTCAGCTTTCTTCCGACGAGGAAGTGCGCCGGCGACAGTGGTTCTGGCTCTTGAGCATCATCGTAGGTGAAAGTCAATGGGCGTGAGTTTATTACGGCCTCGACTTCGTACAAGACAGTTGTGAGTTCTTCAAAGCTTAAACTGCTCCGACCTAACACCTTGCGCAACGCTACCTTCACCGATCGCACCAACCGTTCCCAGAATCCGCCCCACCAAGCTGCCCTTTCAACAATAAACTTCCACCTGATCTGGTTTCCGGCGAAGTATGACTGCATTTCCTCTGATTTTAGTAGCGTGAACATTGCATTCAGATCTTTTGCTGCTCTCTTGAAGGTTAGCGCGTTGTCCGAATAAATAGTCGAGCAGATTCCCCTGCGAGCCACGAAGCGCTTGAAAGCCAGGAGAAAGGCTGTAGTCGACATGTCGCTAACGAGCTCAAGATGGACGGCACGTGTCACAGCGCAGGTTAAAATTGCGATGTAACATTTTCGGGCACCGCGCGACTCTTGACAAATCAAAGGTCCTGCGAAATCGATGCCGACAGTGTCGAACGGATTTCCTTCTGTTACTCTGTCAGCTGGAAGTGGTGCCACTGGTTCCGTGGCTTGAGGGCAACTTTGTTTGCGACAGATGAGGCACTGCTTGATAACCTTTTTTACGGCCTGGCGCCCTCGGATGATCCAATACGACTCTCGCAATGACGCCAAGGTGTCGCGCACCCCTGAGTGTAGCATTCTCACGTGCTCTTTCCTTATGAGCAGTAGCGTGAAGGGATGAGTGCTAGGTAGAATGATGGGATGTTTAGTCTCTTCGTGGTTGTCGGTGAATTGCAAGCGTCCACCAACTCGAATGAGACCTTCCCCGTCAAGGTACGGACTGAGTGGCAGAACAGGAGAGCCTTTGTGCAGTGGTCTTTGGGCTTTCAAGTTGGAAATGTCGTCACTGAATGCTTCTCCTTGAGTTGTTGCCAACCAGTACCTCTCAGCATCGATCACCTCTTCAGCTCGTAGCGGACCACCTTTCCTTTCTTTCCCGCGGCGGCAATTGTTGACAAAGCGGCGGACCCACGCAGTTAAGCGCACGACTCTGCTGCATGAGCTGAACTCCTCTACTTTCAGCACTGCCTCGAACGGCGATGATATTACGGGCATCACCGTCACTTTTCGCTCTTCCAGGTGACATTCTACTGCCCCTGGGCTCTGCTCACCGGTCGTTGGCCAATGCGTCTTATCCTTGTGAAGCCAGTGTGGTCCTCTCCACCACAATTCGCTTTCTAACAAGGCTGATGGGAGGATACCGCGAGTGATTAGGTCAGCGGGGTTGTCTAGTCCTGGGCAGTGCCTCCAATCCTCGGGATCAGTCAGCGCCTGAACCTCTGATACTCGGTTTGCCACGAAGGGCTTCCATCTGGCAGCGTTTCCTTTAATCCAGTGCATAGCCACTGTGGAATCGGTCCAAAGGATGGCAGCAGCATTCTGGAGGTTCAAGGCCTTGGCAACGTAGTGGCACAGTCGAGCACCAATGAGGGCCCCCATCAGCTCTAGTCGGGGTAACGAGAGGCGCTTCAAAGGGGCAACTCTTGATTTGGCCATAATTAGGCTTATATTGACTATTCCTTGAGCAGACTTGCATGCAACGTATCCGACAGCACCGTAGGCCTTTGGGCTGGCATCGCAGAAAATGTGCAACACCTTCTCTGTCTTTTCATCTCGGAAATCCCTTGCGATGATCCTCGGAATGGACACCGCCTTGATGCATTGAAGCTCTTCACACCAGCACTTCCACTCCGCTTGCATCAATTCTGGCAAGGGGTCGTCCCAACCCGCTCCCAACTCCCACAACCTTTGGAACATTGTCTTTACGTACAGTGTTGTAGGAGCGATAAACCCAAAGGGGTCGAAAATTCTGGCTGAGACTTGCAATACGAATCTCTTGCTGTCGGCTCTGGTGGTGAGGAATTCAAGAAGTGAGGTCAGATTGTACTCGAAGTTATCTGTATGAGCATTCCAACCTACTCCCAATACCTTGGTGGCTGCAGGAAGTTCGGCATTTGCATTCCTCTTCGCCACGTTCCCATCCTCTATGAAGTTGACTAAATCGTGGTCGTTAGACATCCACTTGTGGAGCCGCATTCCTGCTTGAGATAATATATCGCTTGATTCCTGGCATAGCACTTTACCCTGTTCGAGGGTGTCGACCCCTGTCACAAGGTCGTCAACATAGAGATGGCTGCGCAGGATGTTCGCAGTCTCAGCATACTGCTCTGGGAGTCCTTCAAGATGGTGTCGTAATGTTGCGGCTAATAGGAATGGGCTGGATGTAACACCGAACGGAACGCGCGTCATCCGGTAGGCCGCCACCGCTGGAAGTTCTTCACCTTTCTTCGGAGTGGCAGCATACCAGAGAAACCGCACAGCGTTCCGGTCACCCTCTGACAGAGATATTTGAAGGAATGCCTTTTCAATATCCGCGACGATGCCGATGTTGTAAGTGCGGAAGTTGATCAACAAATCAATGAGCTCTGGATTAAGTTTTGGACCACTTTCCAAAACATCATTCAGTGAGAGGCGATCTTTGGCACTTGATGATGCGTCGAACACCACCCTCACTTTTGTTGTCAGGCTTTCTTGTCGAACAACTGCTTGATGTGGCATGTAATACACCGGACCTTCCGAAGCGCTGCAATGCTTGTTGGCTGGCTCTGCATAGCCCTTTTCGATGTATTCTCGGATGCAGGCGTCATATTCCACGATCAAGGAATCTCCCTTCAAAAGGCGCGTCGTGTTGGCTCTAAGACGCTTCGCGGCGCACTCGTAGTTGTCGTCGAGCTCATCAACCATAGGCTTCCAGGGGAAAGACACTGTGTACCGCCCATGCTCAAATTTGACGGTTTCTTTGTAGTGCTGTTGGATTGCGTCTTGGTGGCGAGCTGGTTCGTGTTCCTTGATACCAATGTGTTCGAGCTCCCAGAATGACCTCAACTGCGCTGATATTTCTTTGTTAGTTTGTTCGCTCACTGCTACTCGCATTACGCCAGCAACAGAGGGACAGACTCCTGGTGACCTTTTTGCGCCTACCTGGCCCTGGACTGTCCACCCAAATGCAGTTTCTACTGCCATCAGCTTGGAGGTTAGGCGCTTAGTGGATCCCGTGACAATTTCCCAATAATGATCAGCGCCGATCAGAAGATCAATGTTTTCACTTCCGTCACCCTGCGCGACGTCCGCGACTGGCAAGCCAAATTTCGAAAGTTCCAGAAGAACTGACTTTAAAGGCGCAGCCATTATATCTGCGCAGATGCAGGGAACTTCGAGGGCCTCCACTCGCGCCCTTTTCCCGTCGTACTGGCTTTGCAGCCACAGCTCGACCAGACGCGCTTTAGTGCGGGTTATAGCGGACTTGTCGCCGAAGGCATAGATTTTAAGTTCCTCTTCCCCAAGCACGTTCAACTGCAGTCTTTCAGACAACTTGCGATGGATGAACGTCCTTTGACTGCCACCATCTAGGAGAAGCCTGACAAGCGTACTTTTGTGCGGTCCCACTGTCCAAGCTCGTGCTGTTTGCAGAAGAAACTGATGCCCCTCCATGCACATAAATTTCTCCTCTGAGCCTAGAGAAGACTTTAGCACTGTGGCTTGTCCTGTCGCTGGTGGAGAGGATGCATTCTGTTCACCACTGCCACGGTATTCTCTGAAATCAGGATCACACATAGCCGTGAGGTGTTTTCCGCTACAGTTGGCACACCTGAGCCATTTGGCCTTACGGCACTCTCTTGACGTGTGCCCCTTTACTGTGCAGCGGAAACACCTATTCTCACGCTTCAGCATCTCTCTTTTATCAGCTGCCGACATCTCTGCATCGCAGTCACCGCTTTCGTGGCACCCTGACGAACAAAACAGACACCCTTTTCTCTCCTTGGTCATGGTATGCAGTGCAGCGGCTGAAGACATTCTCGCCGCTTTAAAGGTGCTGTTACGGTTTTCGACAGACGATTCTACACACATGCCCCTTGGTGTTTCGGCCCGCTGTATAATCTCCCGTGCCTCTACCTCGACTCTCAAAAAATGCGCAAATGCCTCCAGTTCACTGCCTCCTGTAGTAGCGCCCTTTCGTCGACAGTATTCGAGATGAAGGTCCGCAGGCACCGCCTTCTTTACTACTGTCAGGAGCAGAGCTCCGTACGTGCTGACACCGACGCCAAGAGAAGTGAGGCTCCGTACACCTCTCTCTACTTCGTCAACGAGGCTCCGAAGTTGGCTGAGGTTCCGCGAGTCACGCACTGACTTGATATTGAGCAGTCTGGACATGTGATCCTCGATTATGGCTTCTTTACGACCGAACCTTTCCTTTAACAGCGAGAGAGCAACTTCGTAGTTTCCGTCGGACAAATCAAGACCCGCAACAGCAGCCGCTGCTTTTCCTGTTAAGTAACTGTTCAGGTACTTGAACTTGTCCACGTTTGACAGGTGGTGGTTAGCGTTTATTGTCGTGTCGAACTGACTCCAAAAGCCTTGCCACTGTCGAAGCTCGCCGTTGAACTTTGCTATCTCTAGTTTTGGCAGCTTTACTGTGGGGGTTACTTGCGGGATGTTACGGCTAGATTCTCTTTGATCTGAGGAACTTGAGGTGCGATCTAGCGAAGCGCTCACTGATGCGGCGTTAGTGCAGCTAAGCTCACGTAGCATGAGCTGTACTTTAGTCCTTGCTACGTTGATCTTTTCTTTGTAGTTCTCGGAGCATGCAATTTCCTCTTCTAATGCATCATCTTCTACGCCAATCTCAATTTCCCGATCTAGCTCTTTGAGTGAGTCTTCCTTAAGGGTGAGAAGGTTGATCTTTTCTTCAAGCTCACCGAGTGACGCGTCGTCCTCCATGGTAGCGATGTCATTGAGCAGCTTTGTTGTTGACGTTCGCACCACGGCCCTTTTGCGCTTCATCCTGTCGATGTCCATCTTTGGGTCCCTAATTCCCGGGTTTCGGCACCAAAAAATGTTGTAGCGGAATAGCAGGGAGGCAGACTTTTTCTAGTGAGACGACGACAGAGAAAAAACACGTCCTTTCAGTTTGAACGCATCACGAAGACTGGTTTATTCGTTCGCTATGTACCGCTGTCGTAGAGAGGGGAAGAAAAAAAGGAAAAGCAAACAGAGAAGCACAAGTATTGTCAAAGAGTTTCCTCCGCACCCCGCACGTGCGACGGTCTTCAAGGACAGATGGACAAAACGCTTTCCGCGTGTTCGAGAAGGGTCATTGTGGCCCTCACCCCCTTTTCCCTTCACGGCTGGGCTTGTAGGTAAAAACAGATGTCAAGGACGCCCTTCGCTCCTTTCGCATTGCCCGTCACGCGAACCACCCGAAAACGAGTCCCTCCGAGTTGCCCCTCCTCCCCCCCTTCGCCGCGGAGTCTTTCAATTAACGCTCCCCCGAAGCGGGGGCTGCTTCCCAGTATGCGACAAATACAACATGCCACAGCGGCGTCCCGCCCGTCGGCGCAATCCCGCGGAAAGCAGCGGCGCGCTGTCCACACTGTGGGCGCCGCGAAATTATTAGAGGTTTAGTTTAGCGCGCGCAAGGCGGTACGTGCGCAATGGCTAGCGCACTACGTACGTTACAGCGGAGGCTGCTTCCTACAGTATTAGTTTAGCGTACTCGACAACGAACTGCGCCTAAGCGTCAACACCTTCATCTTGGAGTGCTACTTGGCGCCACCTAGTGAGAAGGCAATAAACTACAATAGCCCACCATAGTTGACACGAGTCAAGACATTAGACATGAAACTGCGGACATTGCGGGCGTTGAAAGACACCCCCTGTCAGCTCCCGTATTTACTCGGAGATAACTGTCCATTCCTCAAAGTCGGCGAACGAATTTAAACTCCTCACGTAAGCAAGAAGCTCCAAATTAAGGGCCGACAGATGGAGAGATGTGGCAAGGGTGAGATGATGCCCACATGAGGAGTGTGCTCGAGCGGTGGAGAGGGTGAAGCGAGGCAGAGCTCACCCACGGCGAGCGCATGGCAGGCGAGGGGAGAGACGTCTCCGCGCGCTGCTAGGAGGGCGTGAGCTACTTGGCACCGCTCCAGCACCTGTGGCGAGGGAAGCGGTGCGGTCGGAAGGACAGCGTTACACAGGCTAGTCCAAAGGCTGCTTCGCATATAAATGGCGGACACAAATACGCGTGCAACGGGTGCACCTTAGTTGGCGTGTGTAGTTCCGTGCCTAAAGTTGCTATGCTTAGTTGCCGTGCTTTGTTGCCGTTTCTAGTGTATGTTTCTATTTGTCCTTGTGCACTCCAGCGCTAAGAAACTGCCTTTTTATTATGCACCAACAAGCCCAAATCACTACGAACCTTAGGAGGCTACATTTCTGTCCACTAGTTGGCACCGGGTTTTTTCGCATACGACGCCATTACCAAAAACTTGTGACTCATAACAAGATTGAACCGCCAGCAATATGCTTCTCTCATACAACGGCTGCGCACCGGGATCACCTGCATGCGGCAGAAATTCGTACCATCACGCTCGCATACCTTGTTTATCTTGTCCCTTTCGAAAGAACGCCGTCTTTTTATCGTCCATTTCGGAAACGAATTCCACCATATCAGCGCAAAACCTCGCTTATCGTCCTTCGCTACTTTCTCTGTGCGCTTTCTCCTGCGCGAAGTGCCCATGTTTCGGGCATCCGGCCTCTTTCCGGGATCTCGTAGCAAACTGGACGGTCGAGTTCACCGAATACATATATACTCTCTCGTCGGACAGGGCCAGCAGCCTGTTCCCACAGCAGGCATGGGCACAGAAAATTCGATGCAGCTCGCAAAAAGGGGAGTATTTCCCGGTTCCGCGGGCCGAACACTCTCGTCCACGCGAAACTAACGCTCGGTTCCAGAGGTAAGAATGGACGATGATAATAAACAAATCGCACCACCACGGCTTGCCCTGCCATGTTAATATTGCGATCTTTCCACTTTTGTTGATATACGCGGAGCGTGTTAAAACGTGGCTAGAAATAAAAGGATAAAAAATGAACGGGAGAGAGAAAAAGAAAAGAAAAAATGGCAGCATATCCACGGAGCGAATGATGGAGAGTGGGGCGAAGAATCCGTCCGTCCATTCGTTCTTTCTTCCGCCCGTCTATGCGTGCGTCTGTGTGGCCGCCGGTGCGTCCATCCGCCCGTCCGTGCGTGCGTCTGTTCGTGCGTCCGCACGTCCATCTGTGCGTCCGTCCCTGCGTTCGTTCGTGCATCCGCTCTTGCGTCCGTCCATGTGTCCATCCGTCCGTGCAGCCATCCGTGCGTCCGTTCACGCATTTGTTAGTGTGTCCGTTAGTCCACCTGTTCAACACTCCAAGTACCACCATCTCGAATCTTTTCATCATATATTCCTCATATAGAAGCACCGCCATCCGGCGAACATTTCAAGGACTGAACGAGAGGATGCACACGCACACTTTCTTACGGCTTGCGCTTCGTGTCAACTTCCCACCTTTAACCACCTCGAGTGCATGGTATATACTAGTTCCCTGTATTAATGGCACTGCGGCCCAACGCTCGCTAAAGCTTTCTAAAACCAAGGAGGTTACGCCCAGCGAGTATAACGTAGCAACCCTTTCTTGTCTCAATGTACATGCCAATGGCTGCTAAGGGGGAATGAGAGACAGGAGAATTCGGATTTTTGTTAACGCGCACGCTGCGAATTTTTTTATTGTTCAACAACGCACAGAAGAAACCTCCCACCGGCACCACCTTGGAGGTCAAAATGTAAGACTGGTTACGCACTACTACTACGACTACGAGTGACGAACTGTTGCCGCTATAAGGAGCTTCGCCCCTAAAAATGTGTCGAGCATTGTTCCGACCTGCGCGAGCGCGTTGTCGCTCCGATCTTTCCGCTCCGTTCGGAAGCTCAGAAAGTCCCGATACGGCACCGCTCGAGAAGCAAGAAACTCGCAGGGTTCCTTAAGCGTTCACCCAAGACGTCTTGTCGCCTAGAAGATATTGGCTCATACCCACAAGAGGTGTTGGCCACACTGAACCCCGTAATGTAAAATTTTTACACAATGCTTGCTAAAAAAAGAGAGAAATTAGATAATAACAATAATAACGCCCAGAAGGCGAAAGGCAGCCTTCGTCTTTTTCTTGCCAGTCGGTGTACTGATCCCCTCCAACACCACTCCGGAGTATCTCTTCACCTAACGTCGTTTCGCACTGCCGCCGAGATCTCCGACTTCACCCGGCTTTGCATTGCCTCCGAGATCGGTCCACCTTTAAGCATGCTACGATGCCATGCGATGAGTTCATTGCGTTGAATTATTGATTGATATGTGGGGTTTAACGTCCCAAAACCACTATATGATCATGAGAGACGCCGTAGTGGAGGGCTCCGGAAATTTCGACCACCTGAGGTTCTTTAACGTGCACCCGAATCTGAGCACACGGGCCTACAACATTTCCGCCTCCATCGGAAATGACTTCATTGCGTGACGACTCTACTGCGTGGCGATCAGTGGCGTAATGGTGACTTTATCAGGTGAAGAAGTCGCCACGATGCCATGAAATTTTGCCGATTGGTAGCACCATGGTGACTTTACCACGTTTTCAGCGTTATTCGTGTTGACGCCACCGACGCCAACGGTCTTTTTTTTTTTTGCCCCACCGTGGTGGTCTAGTGGCTAAGGTACTCGGCTGCTGACCCGCAGGTCGCGTAGTCTAATGCCGGCTGTGGCGGCTGCGTTTCCGATGGAGGCGGAAATGCTGTAGGCCCGTGTGCTCAGATTTGGGTGCACGTTGAAGAACCCCAGGTGGTCAAAATTTCCAGAGCCCTCCACTACGGCGTCCCTCATAATCATATGGTGGTTTTGGGACGTTAGACCCCACATATCAATCAATCAATCAATCAATGGTCAATTTTTTTTTCGGTTGATGAGGTATCTGAGGTTAAAAGGAAAGCAAGCAGCAGAGAGAAAGACACCGAACAAAACGAACCGAGAACGCGAGCGGCCGAAACAGAGAGGGAGGGGAAGGTGTGAAGGAGAAGTCGTCCTGCCAGGACGACAGCGAGGCAGCAGTTGCGGGGCCATGACCTTCGGGGTGAAAAGCGAAAAGCGCCGCCGAGCGAACCGGCATGCGGGGCTCCGAACGCACGACAGCTGCTGCGACACTTGTCGCTGCTGCTGCTGCTGCTGCTGCTGCTGCTGCTGCTGCCACGCTCGCCAACACCGGAACGGCCGGCAGCTGAGGGTTTAACGACCCGGCTGCTGCAATAGGCGGACCGCATACTGCTCAGATGTGTGCGGGGCTTTCCGATTTATACTACTGCTGCAGCTAGCTATTCTCGCAGGAACGTCGCTAACTGTAGCGCACACGTGCGCTCACGGCGACGTTGTGATAACCGAGCACGTGACTTCAGTGCTTCCAAGCAGAGGTGCAGGCATGCATTTTTCAGGAGAGGGGGAAGGGGGTGACGGGGAGGTTCAACCATACGTTATGTGTGTTTTAGAACAAGAATAGGAATGTGGAGGGGGGGGGGCACATTTGACAAGCACTCTCATATCACGGCAGGTAGATTGCCACTATCCCTCTAGATGAAGGTGCATAATAGCTGCATCTTGCCGGTACTTAGCTACGGAGCAAAGACCTGGAAACTTACAAAGAGGGTTCAGCTTAAATTGAGGACGACGCAGCGAGCAACGGAAATGGAAACGGTAGGTGTAACCTACCATTTCCATTTCAAGAGACAGGAAGACAGCAGAGTGGATTAGGGAACAAACCGGGGTTAAGGATATCATAGTTGAAATCAAGAAGAGGAAATGGACACGGGCCGGGCATGTCGCACGTAGACAGATCGACCGCTGGTCACTAAGGGTAACCAACTGGATTCCCAGAGGAGGCAAGAGGGTCCAGAGAAGACAGAAAGTTAGGTGGGCAGATGAGATTAAGAAGTTTGCGGGTATAAAAT